TGCTGAAAACTTGAAACAGCCTGCGATCAAGCGTTTATAGAAATTCCGAAATGATTATAGCACATGACCAACTGTTCGGCAATACGTATAGATCTGACAGCGGCAATCCTGGTCCAAGATCTTGGCTCATGATGCAGCATTACCATAAATCACAAATTTAGCTTTCCCAGGACTTAAAGTTACTATAATTTCCCTTGCCCCCCCCCCCCCCATCCCCACCCCACTGTCGGATTATTTAGCGAGGGTTAACCAATTCGTCTGTGAAGTTATATAGGTTGACATGCAGGCTAATATTTTGGTCAACTACTAGGTCGCCAACAAAGTCTTCGCTTTGTCTAGATACTAGCTCCAGAGTACCAGTTGTTTTTGACAAGGAATTAATATAGGGTGCCGACAGCAGGAAATATCAATATGTGCTATTTAGATTTTAACTTTGATAACTTGTGTATATAGAGAATAATGATTAATGGTTGTATTCGGGCGTTCTGTAAAGCATTTGTAAATTCACGAATGGAATATCTCACGGAAGGGTGATCTGCTCACGTGGCCAACCTGATCAACTATTTTGTGACGATCTTTACAGTATTTGCGAATCTTTCAGTCGTGTTTTTAAAATTGCCACCTCTTGATAAATGCTAGTAGTTTTTAAGTTAGTATTAGTTTAATAATCAAAGGACCACTAATTCCTGAACGCGTCAAAGGTATCACCTTGGTTCCCTATTCTAGAAGTCACGTTCGCCATCTGTCTCGAGTGATTTCCGATTAGCGTACGTGTCAAGAACGTTGCTTGTGGGGATGAGAGTGCATGAGAGTTTGTCCATCACGCGACCTTGTTTAGCTGTTAATGCTTTCCCAACACTATCATGGATTCTATTTAAGTTGAAACACAGTTGGAACACTCATCAAACTTTTATTTTGTTAATCTAGAGCTTGAAATATGCCCTGTAACAATGCGTAAGAACAACGAAATCTATCACCACAGCTAGAAAGAGCGTCTTGGAATTAGTAATATTACAAAGTTTGGTTGCGAAATGTTGTAAAATACGGAAAATATAGCCCTTCAAAGTTGGCAAATTTGTATACTTTTGTATTACGTGCAATAATTGGTAACTAAATTAGTCAGTACCAATTTCCGCACGTAATAGAAATGTATACAAATTTGCCAACTTCGCACGGCTATATTTTCCGTATTTTACAACATTTCGCAACCAAACTTTGCAGTTTTTCTAATTCTGATAACTTCTTTCCGAAAATATCTTTTGTTATTCCCAGATCGAAAATATTTCTAAAGCGCAAGTCGTCCATTGTCATCAAGTCTCGTTTGACCGGGACTTTATGCCGGATATTAAATCTCCAGTCTTTTTATGGAAGATTTCTGAAGCGATTTTCTAGCAAACTTCATCACTAGTTAATCAGCAGAGATCCAAGGTATATGATGCTTGGCCTGTTTCAGAAATTGAAGAAGTTAGGAAAAGACTTTAAACTTTTTTATGCACTGAACTTGATATTGTTTTAAGGTCGTAGTAGGCGGAACCTTTATTTTGTTAATCTAGAGCTTGAAATGCCCCTGTAACAATATGTGACTGCCAATTCTCGTTTGACCATGAGGGCTTTTAAAGCTCAGTGTCTCAGTGACTCGTTTGACCATGAGGGCTTTTAAAGCTCAGTGATCCCTTTGTATGAGTTGCGAATCCAATCCCGACAAGTCTATATTGTGGAGCTCTTGTTATTACACGACATAGTTTACTCATGCAAAACCCTCTAATAGTTGAAATGAACATCATCACTTACCGAAGACGAAGTCTCCGTGTCATTAGAGAGAGTTGTCTTTTTCCATGTCGTTGATCTTCCCAGATTTGTAGACGCTTGGCTCGGATGTGAGCTGACATTTTTTGCTTGGCTTTGTCCTGTCAACGCGATGCATACTACAAATGCTATCAACAGTTGCAGGTATCTGGCGTTGGGAAGCATGATTACACCAAGCAATACTGTTTTGGCTTCTGTTTGATAGTTTTGTCTTCGCAAGTAAACTCCTGTCCGTTTCCTGTTCGTTTTAATGCGGTGTGATCAAGTTGCAAAAAAATTACAGTGTGTATATACAAACCGGTTGTGACGTATTTTCTAAAGCTACCAATCAGAAAAATGAGTCGTATGTGTTGATCGCATTATCAAAACTACTGTGTATCATTAAATTGTGTGCCATTAATAAAGCAACTATCTCCCATGCCTGATGATAGAAGCGATAAAAGCTCGTGTGTATATTAATCATCGTGATTTCACCCAAACTACAATCTGCGGTTTGCGGTTATGCATGACGAAAGGAAACACGCACTTGAATTGTTTAGGGCGTTTTTTGAGTCACGATCAATATTAATGTCAATATACCGGCTATATTGAAATACTGAGACAGAAATATTCTACCAAATTCAGTCTGAGAAGAACAAAGCGTTCGTTTGAAGTTTATTATGCAGATGTTTTTAATATAACTCCTAATATTAGCTCAGTTAATTTTGAAACATTAAAACTTTATAGTTTTAGTTGGATATTTGATTGGATTTCGTGCCATTGCTAACTTCTAGGCATAATGCTTAGTGATTATGCGGTCTAGTAATAATCACTATGGCTGCAAGATCGCTACATATACAATTAAAAATTTAAATACGGGTTTAACTTAATTTTTTGTAGCCAAAACAGAATCATGTATTCAAATCTTGCCCAATATATGCTTTTTGGCGAAATGCATGCATGATATCGAAAATATTTCTCCAAGACAGCGTTAAACCCTGACTAGGATGTGATTCTATCAAAATAATTCCTTCTTGAGCCTGATCGGTGGCTGGTTTCGTGTTGCGACAAAATCAAGCACATGCTGCAGTTAGTGCAGTATATAGGCCTACGTGACTAATTAAGGTCCAGACACACTGGACGCGATTCGACAACGCAACGCGATTTTTTAGTTTTTGAAAGTTAATGAAAACAGCCAATGCAGAGAGCCAATTTTGAAAGATATGCAGACCAAATAACTCAAAATGTTATAGCGCTTTTAAATATTTGGAAAATTTAAACTAGGATAGAAGTTATCGGTCAGTGAAAATCGAAAAATCGCGTCGCGTTGTCGAATCGCGTCCGGCGTGCCTGGACCATTTTCCACTAGGCGAATTTGTTCGCGCGAAGCGATTGGCAATGTGATTGGTCTGCGAAAAAATTCGCCGTGAAAAAGTTGGATCAGCAAACCAATTCGCTTTATAGTGGAAGTGTGGAAAATAGGCTTTGGACTTGCTACAAGCCGACTCGTACATTGTTTAGTTGCGCGGTTGAGCTCTTCTTTTAAGTGCGGCAAAACGTGACTGTATTCGACCAAGTTTAATTGTGTGAATAGAGAAGCCATCTGTTTTGATATGTGCGTGAGACTCCGTGACGTTTTCTATCCAATCTTAATAGCCTAATTTACTACGTTTCTTATTTCACGTTTAACCCCAGCATGGGGTTACACAACAAATTATACAACATTTTGCTGTTATATAACTCCAGTTACTCGTTATGACTATATACTAAACACAATCGTCGAGACGTTGTCTTCAATATTGTAAATGATGCGCTCTATGCATATACACACAATTTTAAATTTGTCTAGACTGCAGTAAAAGAGGGACAATTTAATTAAATAACAAATTTTGCTCTCAGTAAAATTAAATTAAATTACAATCATCTACCAGATTTTGACTGATAAAATCTTTTCTACAAGCAGTGTAATAAACAAGGAAAACTTTGGTCAATTAATGGAGTCTGTCGAGTCTGTGTTTGCATATCATGCAAATTTATTTATTTAGGCCTTCTGCGGAAAAATAAAACAAGTGAAATCTGGCGGCTTGCTGCTCCAAAGACGTTTTCAACTAGAAAGATAGCTAGTATAGATTATGCGCAACTAGGAATCTAGGGTAAAACATATTTATTTAGGAAACGAATAAATAAATTGCCAGCCGGAACGTTTCCCAAATAAATATTCTTTAATAGTTTACATAAAATTCTGTTCAAGTATATGTGGTTTATTATTTGTTATTTTGTTACAATAATGACTAATGCAAGTAAACGGTGTGTGCTAATCATCCAAAACTTATTAACATTAATAATTCATGATGAAAAGACGAGGAAATTTTTTATGTGATAAAAAAAAATCATGTTAATTTAACTTTGATTTTCTCGGCTAAGTCAACGTTTAAACTGCTTTGACGATGGCGCCAACATTGCGCATCTCAAAGATCTAAAGCTGATATCCAATGTTTTGAATGTGGATCGTTGTTGCTTGCTATATAGTTGCTTCTGTTGTGTAATTAAGCAAATAAAGAGGTTTTCAATGTGTATGTGTATGGGTTGTGTGCGAATAGGCTTATCTGCATACCTGGAAAGTTTAGTATAAGTGTAAAGGTTTTCAAGGATTTCACTATGCACACGTTGAATGTCAGGGTCATCCCACCGGCCCGCGAATTTTTCGACAGCAAAACGAAAGCCAGTGCTCAAGTTATACAGCATACCTGTTACACAAAAACCCGACCACTCGCCCCCTGCATGAACGCCTTAGCCAAGCCGGCCATTTTGAATGTTCTCATAGGTATGAGGGCGAAGTCCTTAGCGCACTGGCTAGGAACATGGCGAGCGCTTTGCGATTGCGAATCATGGCATGGCGGACAAGAACCGGAACTGAATTCTGTGGTATAGCCATGAGCCATGCTGATGCATGTATTTAAAACTAAAGGCCCTGTCACACTATTGCGTATGAGAGAAACGTATGAGAAGCGTATGCAAATTAATGAAATAATTTTCATACGCACAAAAATCCTTTGAAATGCCAGCGTATGAGTACCGTACTTCTGGCGTACCTCTAACGTATTCAGCGTGTGCCTAGAGTATGCTTATTGTATAAAGCATATGTCCGATACGCACAAAATTTTTGAACATCGTGAACATGCTTAAAAAAAAATTTTAGCCTCGCCGTATGCCACCGTACGCGACCGTGCTTGAAACGTATACAACCTATGCCTAACGTACTCCTATAGGCCCTAGCGTAGGTCAACGTATACCGGCGTATGAGTGATATTTTTCATACGCTGGCATACGCTAGTACGATACGCAATAGTGTGACAGGGCCTTAAAATATGATACCATTATCGTGCTACTTCAGGTTTGTCTTGACGTATATGCATAAAGTTCTTTAGTTATAATTCGGTGAATCATCTTTTGTGGCTGGAACTGATATCCAAGTCGGGATCTCGTGCGGTTCCGGAAATCGTGCAGAGTGTATATCACGTATGCACTGGAAGTGTAATTTAGTATATGATCCATGTTGCACTTCGTGAGATAACTATATACTTTATATCTTCAGTGAAAAGGCCAATGTATTCAAAATTACTTTTGTTTAAGCTTTATTCTCCAGTTTAATATACAGTTAGCCACCTTCAGTTTTAAATGCATTTGCCGGTTGAGAAACGTAAAATAATAGTGAAAAATTGTCAATATAGAATTATCAATGATTCTTTAAAGGTGATCTACAGTCCGTATGTAAACAAAGCCTTTGTTTACATAATATTGAGCTTTATTCGACAACTATTTATATTTTCAAGCTTCTAAGAGTATAATAAATGATTAAGAAACAACAATCAGGCTTTTCAAGAACTCAAAACATAGTTAAACTGTTTGTATCATAAAAAGTGGGCTCATTTGTGCACATGCGTAGATCGGACTGTAGACTTTAAAAGTGACGCCATATTTACAGCCATATATATTAAGCAAAATTTACTGAACTTCAGACATCGTTTTCTCTTTGGTGTATCATCTAAAATCTCTTCATTGTAGCATAATTGTACATATAAAGCACTAAACATGCTTTTTAGGTTTGCTTGCCGATTGAGAAACCTCAAACGTATCGAAAAACAAGAATTTTGAATCTAGTCTAGCTAGTGATGTAATATATACTCATTATCTTTAAGCGCGTGTGACATAACAAAAAACAAGTATATTAAGTATATGAACGATTTCTTTAATCTTTAATAATCTGTGTTATCTAGATCCGCACATGGTCGGCCTATCCAAAATCTGACCGTTATCAAAAGTATGCGTGCATAAATTGGACGAGATTTTAATGAACATGCAGATATAGAAACTATTTGCTAAACAGGCACACAGAACAACACGCGTGAACGTGTTGTAAACGTGGACACTGTTAATATAAAAAATGCAAAGGCTTACTCCTTAACTTGCACAGTCTGTTCTGCACATGCGTATTCAGTCTCCAGGTGCTATAAGGCTATATATATTTTCCATGCACTGCATCCTGATTGTGCTACCTTGATAATTATCGTTTTGTTTTATTTGAAACTTGAAAGTCATATGCTGGGCTTTAATAATTATCTTTAAATTGCGCTTTTCGTCCGGGTAATGTTCATCCCCTGCACTTCGTTTATGATAGTTCAGTATCTGGATACAAAAATGTGAAATTGATGACGCATTGGCTGTGTTTGGAAAGCTGTGTGCGTAAACGCGCTTGTGGCTTTGAATCCTTTAATGATTCTTTGAAACAATAAACAACTACATTTTACATGTTTAGTTCTTGAAATAATACAATTTTGAGAGTTCAAATAGTCAGAAACCGAATGGAAACATAATTACACGCACCGTTCAATTTTCGTCTATTTTGTCCGTTTGTAAAGCCGGTTTGCCAATTGGAATTTGCTAATTGGTGTGACACTTGGAATTAGCGCAAAATATCTTCGGCTGATGGACAGCAAGCCGAGATACGTAGCGATATCATCCGTAACGGTTGAGTGGAATATCGCGTTTCTGTCGCACATTAAGCTGCCTATGCGCCTGCCTTTTTAGTGGCAATGTATGAGAGACTATATGATGCAGGCGCAGGTATACCAGGTATTGGCGTCAGCACGTCACGTGACCGGGGGATGGCGCAATGCGATTAAGTGACATCTATCATTCGAAGTCTGACGTCCAAACGACAACATTTTCAGTGGCAGCCAGCAAAATTTATTTCCACCAATTTTAATTGGTGTAAAGGTGTTAGGTCGGTGGGGATTGAAAGGTCAAGATGCCATTGTTATGGATCTTAATCTGAGTCCAAGTAACAGTAGTCAGTCCAGGTCACCCCCTCGGTAATCATCAACCTTGACCACACCTTCTAATTCTCGCGGCAATTCCTGGCTCAAAACAACATGATCTCTTCCTAAAATTAAGGCTATGTTTTAATTGTAAAATTCTCCAAAATTAAGGCAATTAACCGACAAGATTTTTTATTTTCTAAAATAATGCTCATGGGTAATATTGACTCATTTGATGACTCGCACAAATTAAGTAATCTCAAAAAAAAATACCCGCGGCCCTTTAATATGTCTTTGCTTATGGATGTCCTTACTTATAGATTTCTTATAAGTAATAGCATGGCATTCAGGGCGATTAGTGATTAAATGTACTCGAAAGCCGAGAGAGGTTTAGTAAAAGTGGCAACCTTTTTAGAACAGGGATAGTAAGCAGTGAAAATGAAACTTTCTATAACTATAGTTGTAAGGAGTAGGCTATAATCATTATAAATCGATTTACAGTTAAATATTTGAAAAATTATTTTCAGGCATCGCTTATATAGATTTCCCACGGCTATAATTGTCAAAGATAGATAAAAGTGCAATTAACGGGGCGGAGTAGCATAACTAAAAAATAAAGACTTTTTTAATAATTCCATGAATGACACAATGTGTCAAAGATAAAATCATTGTGCCGTTGTAAGGTCGTATTAAAGGTCACAGTGCTAGCCTATATATGCCTATATATATGTTCCAAAACATTTGGTTTTGGGACATGTACAGTGGTATAAATAAAAAATAAAGACTTTTTTAATAATTCCAATGACACAATGTGTCAAAGATAAAATCATTGTGCCGTTGTAAGGTCGTATGTCACAGTGCTAGCCTATATATGCCTATATATGTTCCAAAACATTTAGTTTTGGGACATATACAGTAGTATAAATAAAAAATAAAGACTTTTTTAATTTTAATAATTCCAATGACACAATGTGTCAAAGATAAAATCATTGTGTCGTAAGGTCGTAAGGTCACAGTGCTAGCCTATATATGCCTATATATGTTCCAAAACATTTAGTTTTGGGACATATACAGTAGTATAAATAAAAAATAAAGACTTTTTTATTAATTCCAATGAGCACTAGCTAGTATATATAAGATATCTATGCGTTGTAAGATCATAGGGTCACAGTGCTAGCCTATATGCCTATATAGGCTATGTTCCAAAACATTTAGTGTATGTAAAAGTAAGAGGCGTGCACGCTCCACATACATTGATTTTTTTTTCTTCGAAGAGTTGGGTATGATAGATAGATAGATTGTTTAATAAGTCACTTTTTGCAGTACAAATACTGAATTGGTAAGCGATTACAATATAAATAAGACTGAATACAAATTATATTACATTTAAAAAATTACAACCTATGCTATGGCTTACTAAGAAGATTATAAATATTAAAACTAACACTAATTTGTTGAATTACGATTATTTATGTCTAAACAACTAGCGATGACATACGAATTCTTAAAACGTTCAGTATAGAATTTCGGAACATGTATCTTCTTGTTGTTACGTAATTGGTAATTTGATGAAGTATATAGCACAGCCGGGAAATATTCAACCGAAGATGGTCACTAAATAGAACAGAAATTTTATCTAACCCTAGGGTACAATCCCTTCAGAAGAAAGCTTCGGATGGATAGGGATACAACTACCTGAAAATACAAGGAGAACTCAATCACTGAGAACACTAGCGCGGAGCTCATTTCGGTTGCATAATTCACTGCATGTATATTTTGTGCAAATATTTAAAAGTAGACTACACATAACACATTTAATCGTTTCAATAAATTTTATTAAGACTATAATATTTGTATACAGTGAACAGGCCTATATTCGTAGTAGTTGAGGATACGTAAATCAGTATTCGACTTTCTTTCTCGACTGTTAATAGTTCATCCACACAGAGACACTCTGGGATATTTACACGTGGTTCTCTTGCCCTGCTTCTTGCGCCAAACTTCGCACAGAGGCGCCTTGGAATAAGGACACTTGTCTCTCTTTTCAATTCCATCCATTTCAACATCACGTTGCAGGTATGATCTTCTCTCGGCCACGTCCAAGTCATCAGCGACTTCACGTTGCCATATCCATTTTGGTTTGGCCAAACACAGGTTGATGGTGGCGATCACGCAGAAGACCACAAGCACATTCTTATAAACTGCCATCACTTCTGTTTTTTTTTTAAAACGCTCTATCGTAATAAGTTTTTCTGCCTTTGTGTTCCCTTGAATTCAGAACTTAGAATGAAATGCTGGCTTTTGGCACTGCATTTTAAGAAGTGGTGTGGATAAATAATGGATATCCTCTGGCAAATCTGCAAACATATTGCATCCACACATTGTATCCAAAAAAACCTAAAACATATAGAATGGGGGGTCATGCAGCGTTAGCTCATGTGACGTTCAGTATAAACATCAGATAAGTGGCTGCATGTCGAGAAATTTTCCATTATTAAAGGTTATTTACTGATTTCTTCTAAAGACAAAACATAACAATTTTGTAAACTTACTCATATATAGTTCTTATTGTTCGTCGTGTTTATTATTACATTATACCATCATAACATCATTATCATAAAATTGTTTGACATTGATCGAAACCGAGGACACCACTATTATTTTTGTGTCTTTATATGGCATGCCATAAATCAAATCCGTCTGCAGACGAGACAATAGCTTGAAAATTTGAAATCGAGGTGGACAATACAGTGTGTCCCCAAAAAAGTACCCTCTATAGAAATTTATCCTATTGTTGTTAAGCACAGGATTTTATGCGACTGGTAATTAAAAATTCAATTCAATTGTGTTTACGCATTCTTGTGTTCAGCATACTGTAGTATGGCATAGTGCTCAGGCACTCAAATTATAACAATAGAATAATTTCTATAGAGGGTACTTTTTTTGGGGGGGACACCCTGTATATGTAACCCATTGGAAATTAGGGATAGCTTTCATCGCTGCAACTACGGCAAATTTGGGAAGTGTCTATTGCTTCACAATAGTTGTTGGAAAACGTCTGTTAAAATGCATAACGTTTTTGTTTTTAATAAATATTGTAAGAAGAAAGCTCCTTCACCGAAAGGTGCTTTTCAAGTAGGTCCTCTATATAGTATAGACATATACATATAGCATTGTGGACTGGGGCGGCATGATATTTTTCAAGCATAGAGCCATAGACATAATTATAATGATTGCATGGTCATACAAGCAATTTTAATTTTCCTCATTTATGAGTAAAATCAATAATGCACCTACATGCAGTGAATTTTGAGTTAGGCCACGGCCCACGTTTACATGAGACTGGGACGAAGTCAAACCGGAATGAAAGTTGAAATTGTCAACATGTTTACATGAGACCGGTACGAAAATCACAAAATTTTCAATGTATTCCCCTTTGCCAGGAAATTTTCTTTTTCAGATGACTTTTGTTAGCATGTGTTGTTCCCATGTCAAGGTTACAGCCGAGACCGGTCTGAAATGTGTTTGCGTTTACATTCATGCCGGTCTGAAGTCAGTCGGCTCAGTCCAGCAGGCGGAATGACTTGAGACCGGTCTGAGTTTTATTGTGTCATCAAGACATTCCGCCGACTTGAGACCGGTCTGAGTTTTATTGTGTCATCAAGACGTGGCAAAATGGATGCCGACAAAGGAAAAAGGTCGATTCGCGCAAAACATTTTTGCTAGTGGCAAACTGGCTTTTATTAAGATAGTCAGGAGGTAGAAAAAGTGCAATTTGAATACAAAAACACCTTGTCCTTGCACAAAGTCGAAGGTCAGCTAAATATTCTACTTCGTTCCGGTCTTATGCAAACCGGGCCTATTTAAACTACATTTAAATTTCTGAGCAAATTAACTCAAATTTACCTAAATTTTTTAGCAAATATTTTCTTTACTCAAAAAATGACTAATTTTACTACTAAAAAATAAGTAATTTTTCTCAATATTTTCGATCACTGTAGTGGCAGGATTATTTTACTCTGAAGTTTTTGAGTGAAAACATTTTACAGTGCCGTCTAATTTCATATATGTAAATTTCAAACAAAGTAGAGTAGATGGCACATTGGCAAAAAGTATCTATGTTTGACTTCTAATTTAGAGTGACGCGCATGCAAGTATAATGAAGTTTTGCCAGCAGACATCTTGCCAAATGAGTTGACACGGGAGAGAGTTGTTATATAATAGGTCGGATATAGGGATGAAAGAAAGAAAACCGATGCAGGATTTCGGAAATGTTATGTTTATTAATGAAGTCTAGCGTAATTCTCTTCGGTTTAGAATTTTAAAGAAAGTGCTGACTTGTAGGGGTGTTTTTGTAAAGCATACGGAATGTAAATATCCACTCGGGCTGACGTCCTAGGCCTAGCTGGCGAACATATGGTGACCACTTGTGCGTTTGTCTCAAAATATTTTTAAATACTAAAACCTAAAATAATGATTTTCTACAATGTATTCCTGCCATTATTATACAGCCAATTCAAAAAAGGTTGTACTGCGCAAACATTAAACTCTAGACTAAACCTTAAACCTTAAACTCTAAGCGCGCAAAGCTTAATGGGAGCACAAGTTTCAAGCGTAATAGTTGAATATTGCAGCTATTTGTGAATGAATTGTTCTCGTAAGGAGATATCTACCATGTCTCTAAAAAATGGGCTCCATATATGATTTCTGAACTGATTAAATGATGCTCCTGTTATGCTTTGCACGCTTAATTACAGGTTAAGGTTTACAAAGGACAACCTTTTTTGAATTAGCTGTATATGCTTGCTAATTGCAGACTCGTTAAAAGTTTAATTAACTTGCCCATGGCTGCGAGAAATTGTTTTCACATCATTTTTGTTAGTTCTGGGCCGAAATTATATGTCAACCATACAGTCAGTTGCGCGTGAATTTTCAATGACCATGCATTAATCATTATAGAAAACTATCAGTATCACAATGAAATGTAACAACTTCTGTTCCTCCCAACATTTTGACTTTTGTTGAGTTTAATACGAAATATTTCATTAAAAGCATCCAAACAACCTACATTTTCTAGCGTTTTGATATGATGCTGCTGTAACAGTTATTTTTCATGTATCGCTGCATGATAGACGTTTATATATAGTCTATAGACAACTTTTGACAAAATTATGTATATTTTTATAAGCTTTCTTGGCCTCGTTTTTTGTAACCGAAACTGTTGGATAGAATTATTGAACCTCAACGAGGCTATAAGAACGCTTATTAATATACACATAAAAGAATATTTATGTCTGTCATCTTGCGCGAGTAAACTATACTATTTCCTGACATGTCGCACTATAGATGTTGCATTTCCGCAGCTCGTTACTGGGCACTTGTTGACAGACATAAAATTCCTATTCGCAAGCAAATATTCTATTTAAACCATCTGTATATCATCGCTAATTTAGTCCTTAATTAAATTGTTTCCGTTTTTATATGCTCCCTTTATAAGCGTATGCCTTTTCAATTTTTGTAATAAACGCGGCAAAGGCAAAGCATTAATTAAGTTTTAAAAATATAATCTGAATTAACAAAATTATGAATGAAGTTGTCGAAATAAAATTTTAAAATAATTTAGTTCATGAATATTGGATCATTTTGGGTCAATATTGGTCCTAGCACAGATATATTGCAGATATAAATAATTGTGTCTATATAGTGGTCACATGCATATCACACATGTTTAAAAAACATTACTGCATGTTTAGATCACTATAATTAATGATAAGATGGTCGTTCCTGCTGCTTCTCGTGCTTATAATAATAAGTAAACTTTAGTTTATTATCGTAATTTTTATCTAATTTACCTATTTTTACTTCCAAAGTATCAAAGTAATTCAGTTGTTACTGCTAGTTTGGAAATTTTATAATAATAATAATAATAATAATAATAATAATAATAATAATAATATATAGGCAAACAAAGGATATGTTTTTCAAGCAGCTGATGACTTTAATACTTTGAGCAACTTGGTCCCCTTTGAAAATCATTTTTAATGAAAACGTTTCCTCAAACAAACAAACAAATTAAGTTGTCGATAAATTTTATAGCTGTTAGTAGAATTCTCTGCCGAAATTGAACAGAAATCTTTATATAAATAACCGCAAGGTTTAATCCCATCGCCATCGGGTCCCAATTAAGAATACTATTATCACTGGGAACACTAGCTGTTATCATGCATGGCTCAATTCACGGTTGTTTAATTCACTGCATGCGTGTATTTTATGCGAATATGCATGTAAAAGTAGACAACACATTCAATCCCTTGAATAAATTTTATTAATACTATAATATTTTCATACAGTGAACAGGCTTATGTGGTATTTAGGATACATGAATATTTGATTCTTTACACTATTAGTTAATGTCAATGTTAGTTCATGTGAAACGGCACATGCGTTTGTCGGGATAATCACATGGGGCTCACTGTTTGTTTTTGCACATATAACGGTTTGGATGAGTACACGGCTTGGGTCCATCCATTTCAACATCACGTTGTTGCAGGTACGGTCTTCTCTCCGCGTCCAAGTCACCAGCGACTTCATCACGTTGCCATATCCATTTTGGTTTGGCCAAACACAGGTTGATGGTGGCGATCACGCAGAAGACCACAAGCACATTCTTATAAACTGCCATCACTTCTCGTTTTTAAAAACTGTATCGTCAGCAAGTTTTTCTGCCTTTGTGTTCCCTTGAATTCAGAACTTGAATGAATGAAGTGCTTTTACCACTGCCTTTATAAAGCGTGTTAGAATTGGTTTGGACAATGGACGAACACAGATGTCCTCTCATGGCAAATGTGGAAACATGTTGATATGCACGCAATGTCCAATATACGTATAAGAGTCTGCTTGAATTAAGTTCGCGTCTCAACTATTCTTCCGTGCTATATATGATAAAATACGACTCCACAAATTCCACTAGGGCCTAGGCAACTTAACTTACTACTATTTATGGTAGGAACAGTGGCGTAGCGCGCCAGCCCGACAATTTAGTCCCGCTATGCAAATTCAAAATTATTATTATTCATTTCTTTAAATCAATTGTTTTGCACAGTCAATGAACACGAAAATATTTGCATAGCGGGATAAATCGTCGGGCTGGCGCGCTACGCCACTGTTCGTACCACAAGATGTGGCAATCACTAGATAAATTAGTCTCATACCTATGTTCTGGTTACCGATTGAGTATTCCATCATTGTTTTTTGTAATCCAACACAAATTATACATATATTCGTCAATCGTATAATTTATGCATGATACATAACTTGAAAATTCACTGAATACCATTTTCCTAGCCAGTCCCGGCAATGACATGTTCTGGCCAATAAACACGCTGTACGCCATGGCTGCTCCGCCTTCTGGCCAGTAAACTGCATATTTTTTGCATAAAAAATGAGAACAGGTTGCACCGCTGAGTGGCTATCTGTTACTGATCTTTATTCTGCGACGAAACTCTAGCAAAAAGTTTAACGAAAATTACGATAGCTTAATTTACTCGGTATAACTTCGTCTTGTCACAAGGAAAAAACGGTGAAATTCCCTACCTTATATTTTCAGCGTTTCCTATAGTAAACTGACGCTTTTCCCGCGTGTTTACTCCTATTAATATTTTGGCAGACATTTTCCCGCCATTTCCGTATACTTATGCATGCGTTTTACTCGTTTGACCGCTGGCGGTCAACATGCGTAATTAGCCATTCCGAAGTTGATGAGTGAACTGAGGACGAGTGTTAAAAAGTACCCAAATCGCCAAATTAAGAAATAGACCAAATCACTAAAAAGACCACCTCTAAATTAGTAAGTATACAAAGTTTGAAGACGTTTACATGAATACCCTTCGAATAATAAGGTTATTATACGAAGGGTATTCATGTAAAACGTCTTCAAACTTTGTATACTTACTAATTTTGAGGTGGTCTTTTTAGTGATTTGGTTCATTTCTTAATTTGGGCACTTTTTAACACTCGTCCCCAGTCCACTCATCAACTTCGGAATGGCTAATACGACATGCGCGAGGCCCTTCTGTATGAATCTCTTATTCTGTGGTTTCGTGAAGACAATACTATTTCCAGTCTTTCCGGTACAACAGTCAATACGCGGACGTTTGATCACGATCTCAGAGGTGAAAGCGCTTGTAAACGACTGCGCCACCATTTCGGGCAAGTTGATAAAAACTTATAATAGTTTTGTTTGTGGAAACACCACGTAAATTTATTACTGCAAATTTGTTTCTTTATATACTTTTTTATACACATTTTACAAAATTTTCTTTCCGAGGAAAATTTTCTTGAGTGGAAATGGGCTTTTAGAAATATGTTTGCTCCTTATCTGCATGCAGATCAAACAAAGCCGGTATTATCGATATAGCTGGATCGGCTTTTATTTTTTACTTTAATCCTATTGGCTGATGGGCTTTGGATTTTTGCAGTCTTACACAAAAACGGCTTTTGAAGACAAAATTTATGGGATTTGGGTGTGGTGATCTCTGTATCATACAGTAAATTTAAATAATGCTTCATGCTCAGTGTATACGTATATACAAATAATGTTAAAAATAAATATCACTAAAATCAATAATTTATCTTAATTTACCGAGGGGTGCATGTACTACTCCGAAAATCAGTCTTCGTGCTAAAAAATCACTAAAACTCCAAGTTAAAAAACCCTCAAAATCTCTTTAAAAAACCCGCAAAATCTCTTTCAAAATCCCATAAATCATAAAAAATCTGCTGAAAATCTCGCAAAAACTGACCCCCAAATCCCTGGGTATTTTTGCAGGGATTTTGACTGATGGGCTTTGGATTGGCTGATGGGCTTTGGATTTTTGCAGTCTTACACAAAAACGGCTTTTGAAGACAAAATTTATGGGATTTGGGTGTGGTGATCTCTGTATCATACAGTAAATTTAAATAATGCTTCATGCTCAGTGTATACGTATATACAAATAATGTTAAAAATAAATATCACTAAAATCAATAATTTATCTTAATTTACCGAGGGGTGCATGTACTACTCCGAAAATCAGTCTTCGTGCTAAAAAATCACTAAAACTCCAAGTTAAAAAACCCTCAAAATCTCTTTAAAAAACCCGCAAAATCTCTTTCAAAATCCCATAAATCATAAAAAATCTGCTGAAAATCTCGCAAAAACTGACCCCCAAATCCCTGGGTATTTTTGCAGGGATTTTGAATATCTCGCTTTTTTCAGAGTAATACATCCTTCCCCTCGTCCGCCTTTTAGCCTTTTACAATCTTGTTTCCCTAATTTCCAAGTTACTTAAGTTAGTTTTAAGATAGATGGTACTACGTAGTGAGGACGAGCGGAAAGGCGTACGCTTTTTGCAATTGAACGTGAACAGAGCGATCAAGCTGCGGCGATAATCCCGCATGCGTAGCGAATAGAGGAGTGGATTTAAGACAAAATTTAGAAGAGCAACAGGCTGGTAATAATAAGGAAATTTTGTGACCAATGAATCGTAACTACTGTCTCCCAATCGTCCAATGTATTCAATTTGTTTAGCCAGGAAGTACGGTAACGCTGTGACGATCAGAATTACATTGAGGATGGTAACAACTTTTGCCACTTCTTTTTGTTTTTGATTCTGAGTTTCGGCGTTCAAGCCATCATATCGGCTGCCCAGGATCTCGACGGCTGTTAGAATTTTTAACACGACCTGACATACAACGGCCATCTCCAAACTAGCTATCTTGGCGATATATAAGTAAAACACCTCATTACCACTTATCCAAATATATCCGATTTCAGTCAGACCCATGCCGATGGCGGCAGCCCAAACAATGATGCAAGACAATACGACTTTCTTTGTTGTTAACATCAAACGACTTTTCATGGGATATTTTATGATGATGTATATTTGCACATTCAGTGATGCCAGTAACATGAATGACGCACCCACACCGAGCATCCAAAAGAAGGTCGACACATCAATTGCTATCTGCGGTACAGCATGAATATTTTCATATGCAAAAAGCAATGTCACAAAATTGGATCCACAAGCAATGAAGTCAGCAACGGAAATGTTAAGAATGGTAATCCATGCTCCGCGATGTAATATTTTCAAAGGATCAATAATGATCACAAGGATGAGCAAAATATTACATATCATCCCAATGACATCAACCGTTTTACCCGCGATGATAACAGCCGAGAAGTCCGTCGCCGTCGGCATAATTATATCCTGAAAAAGAAAAATGCACTTGTTGACTGTTGAGTGTATTATGGTTTATAACTCGGACTAGCTTGACCAATACCCATCAGTGGATAGTAGCCAATAAATTAACTTTGAATGTTGGTAAAACAGAGCATATGATTATCGGAACACGGCAGAAATTAAAAAAATTCTCAAGTGAAATGAATATTAACATCGGTGTGAAAACCTTAACACAAGTCGTTTCTAAAAAAGTCTTAGGCATAATAATAGATGATCAATTACGCTGGGATGAACCATTAGACAACATAAGTAACAAAGTATCTCAAGGCATCGGCATGTTACGACGACTGCTAAACAGTTTGTTAAAAGAGAAACGCTTCAATTTCTTTATAATTTTATGGTTTAACCTTATTTTGAGTATTGCTCCTTGGTTTGGGGCAACTGCGGCGAATCCCTGAAGGAAAAACTGCAGAAACTTCAAAACAGGGCAGCAAGGGTCATTACAGATACGATGATATACGTTCAAAAGATATTTTAAAAAAGTTGAATTGGAAAAACCTATCCGTAAAAAGAAAAGAAAAAGCAAGTGCGTATGTTTCAAAAACTATTACCGGAAATTGCCCGAAAAATATAGCTGAAAAGTTTAAAATATCAAATTCTGAAAGATATGATTTAAGAAGCAATAATAAATTTTTAGCACTGCCAAAAAATCATGTTAATGTACATAAACTTTAGCTTTGATTTTCTCGGTTTAAACAAAGTTTATTTTAAAAATTACTTCGCTAATGTACTCATCAGAAGATGGGTCGTTTTTTAAGCCATTTAAAGCACTTGTATAGTCGTGTTTTATCAGATATAAAACGCTCGGCTGCGCCTCGCGTTTTATATCTGATAAAACACTCCTATACGCGTGCTTTAAATAGTACATACATATATATATATATATATATATATATATATATATATATATATATATATATATATATATATATATATATATATATATATATATATATATATATATATATATATATATAGTAATAGTTGGGTTGATTAGACACCGTGTTAAAAGATGTGAAAATAATAATAAAACTTGGCCTGCCGCATTCCGCCTCGTGTGCCGGCCAGCTCAGCGATGCATTTTCATTGTTGATAAGATCGTTTGCATTTCCCGCCATTGTCGCCATTTTGACCCAGTGAGCTCCATATATATCTGGAGTAGGAACTTGGTTGCTCAAAGTGAAGCCAGTTTCGTGTTAACCGCGCATACAAAAACAATAGAAAGGGACTGGAACTTACGTCCAAGAGCTCCTTCAATTTCCGCCATCTTGGCAAGGAGTGTGTTGAAATTTCGTATTTTGACATCGATTTAAATTAAAGAATAATATTGTGATTTTATGAACTGAAAACTTGATTAGTGATACGGTCCATTAGAAAAAACTGGAATTAGCTGGGAAAATGGTATAAAAACTGTTTACGACCTTTAGAGCTATTGGACGTCAATGGCCGCCATCTTGGCTTCACTTGGCTTCACTTTTCTAATGGACCGAATGACTGAAGTTCTTACTCCAGATATTTAACAATTAGACAACGAGGCCGAGTTGTCTATGAGCGAATAGTCAACGAGGCGAAGCCGAGTTGACTATTTGCTCATAGGCAACGAGGCCGAGTTGTCTAATTGTTTTAGTATAAACTTTAACATTAATTTACAACTAGGCTGCAAACACAATACACAAAAAACATTATAAAACCATTAAAGGTAAACAAATAGTTTAGTTTTTGTTCGCGTAAAATGTTTTACAAAATTCAGTTTTAATTTTAAAATTTCATTGAGTGTATGTTATTTTGTCTATTTTCTTACCCTTAAAAATTGCCATTCCATATTTTTGTTGCTTTTTCCGGGATTTTTTAGTACAGAATTGTTCAACAAGTCGTCCAAAAAATCATCAGACACTTCGGCAAAAGTGCAAAACGCGAATTTTCCGCCATTTTGAATTTTCTATTAGTAGGCTATCACTATATATAATAGCCTACTAGTAGCGTAGCCAATCAGAAGGCACGAAATGTGATAGCCTACTAGTAGGTTTATACTAAATATAGTATAAACCCACTAGTAGGCTATCATGTATCGTGCGTTCTGATTGGCTACGCTACTAGTAGGCTATTAGTGATAGCCTACTAGTAGCAACAGCGGCGAAGGGCGCGAGAGTCAATGGCCGTTTTTAAGCATTAAAAGCTGTATTTAAAGGGAAAAAGCTTATCAAAATGGCCTAATTTTGGTTCTGGTCCTAATTACACACAAACAAAGACTCTTGGAAACTGCTGACACATGCGGTAAAAATTTTAAGTTTTCTCAACTTTGCTCGCGTAGTTTTGAACATGAAAGTGACAGGCGATTTTTTAAAATGTGCAGAATGTTTGTTAATATTCCAAGCAGAATCGTTGAAATTCAACAATACTTTGTAGCTATTTACCCCTATTTTC